ACTTTCCATAAGAGCCCACTCCAAACCAGTGGCTCAGTGAGTAAACCACAAATAGATACATCTCTCATGGGAAAAGACAAAACTGCTCAAACTCTGATTGAGGAAATACATTTGAAGGTGTGGATGAGTGCTGTGATTGACTGCATGGAAGAAAGAGCATTGCACACTTTGAGCAACATCAGTGAAGCCAATATGAAGGTTTTTATTTTAGCAGGAGGCGACTTCACCGGTTGCAAAATAAAATTGAATAGAAGTCTATGAGAAAATAACGTTTTTCACTTGATTTATCACCTCATTACATGTGTTGCTTTTTGGTCTCAATCGCTGTTCCAAGTGTTCCTCAAAACAGCATGATGTTTATTTTGTGAATGACGTTCCCTTTTAGAGTAAACAAAGAGAGTATGCTTTAGGGCAGTGGTTCCCGAGGTATGGCAGGGGGGGCGCAGAGGCATGGCAGGGGGGGCGCAGAGGCATGGCAGGGGGCGCAGAGGCATGGCAGGGGGGCGCAGAGGCATGGCAGGGGGGGCGCAGAGGCATGGCAGGGGGGGCGCAGAGGCATGGCAGGGGGGGGGTGCAGAGGCATGGCAGGGGGGGGCGCAGAGGCATGGCAGGTGGGGGGGGGGGGGGGGGGGGCAGAGAGACCAGGAGTAAAAATGGTTATTAAAAAAATAAAAGATTAAAAAAAATAAAAAAATAAATAAATAATCATAATTTGAAAAGTTATTGATTCGAAAATAATATGATACAGTATTTACGTCTGGGTCTCTGTGTTTCATTAAAGCTCTGTGTGTGTGTGGAACGAGCCATTTTGTGTGCGTGCGCGAGCGAGAGAGAGAGCGCACCGGTATCAGAGATCGTAGATGTTAGCTTCTGGTGCTAGCGAGCTACGCTAACGGATATAAGGAGTTTTTTCAACAACAAAGTGGAGGAGAGTCCTCTCCTGTCAGACTGAGAGACTCAGTGAGCTAAAGGACTCTCAGTGTTATCTCAGTGGGTCTCAAACGGTTTGGTCACCATTAATGTAAACAATTATTTCCGAGGCACACGTTTATATGATCATTATAGTTATAAAAAAATAAGAGAATAAATGAAAAACAGGTATGAAATACTATATGACAGTAAAACAAGAATAACGTTTAAAAGGGTGATTTGTAAAATATCCATAAAGAAAAAGTAAATCAGTTTACAGTTCTGTTTCATCTGGGTGTTGAGAGATGTACAGTAGGCTATCCATAGATCTCTTCATGTTGCTCTCAAAGTGCAGATTGATGCTTTTAACTTCAATATTTAAAAATAAATCTTCCCGGGGGAGCATGCCCCCGGACCCCCCTATGTGAGGTCGCACACCACCTAGCACTTTACCCCTGCTTACACCTATATGCCTCAAGCCTTCATTGTAACTGTCACACTGTGTGTGCGTGGGGAGTGTTGCGGTAGAACATTCCTCTGTAGCGCCCGGTACCTTAATGGGAAACCCTAAATGTTTGAGCAACCTCTATGAAACGTCAAGCTACCCCACAGCACCCCAAAATAAATATCTGGCGCCGCCACTGAGCCTGACTATTTATGTTGGGGGTGGCCCGACTTTTTTTTTTTTTCCAAAGGGGGGGCCTGACAGAAAAAGTTTGAGAACCACTGCTTTAGGGCTACCTTGTGATTGACAGGTAGCTAACAAAGTGTTGTCATTGACCATTTCAGAAGTGTGTTTTCAGTGACTGCGAGACTATTGTAACATTTTGGTTGCTTAATAATATCCCGTCTGGTTACAAGATGGCAACGGCACGAAACCTCAGTGTTGTGTCTCACGTCACGTATTTGTTTACTTACTGTATGTGCTGTTAAAGGTGCATAAGGGGTCCCAATGAGTACCAACAGTTAAAAAGTTGGGGCGCTGGACACTTCTCACACTGAAGTTATGTTGCCATCCGCTACTGCAGGTGCTCCGATCAACACAGCACTTTAAAAACAAAAAGTATTTTTTACCATCAAGTAACGTGACTTCACTGGTGTGAAAAATAAGCCACTGTTAATTGTATTGATGCATTGAGCAGTCTGTAATGACTTGATACTGCAAAACAATAACGTTGCTACAGTAGCTTGTTAAGTAGCCAACAACAGCGATTGTTACTTCTGGTGAGGGCTGTTATATCATGCTCTGATACAACCAGGTTTGTCCAGCTCTCATATGAAAGGGTCGAACCCAAGGCCTACAGAGTATTACCCTGATAAGTTCCGTTTTTTAAGCTGGTGATGGGGAGATTCGTCTAGCTTCTAACTGCCTTTGTCCAGGTGTCTACCCTCCATTCTCCAATACTACTGACTGAATGGCCCTCTAGCAGTGGCGGACGACGTTCGGGACGAAACCGAAGTGGGCCAGTCGAATAAGTCACTAGCACCTTCCCCCGTTGACAATTTACTAGCCGTACCGAAGTGGGCCGGTCGAGTCTCCCGGGCTGATTTGTAGTCCCAGTCCACCCCTGCCCTCTAGTCAGGTAATAATATGAGTCGCACCTGTCATATCTCCACCTAAGTTCTGTGCACTTGTTTTTGGCTAGGTTTTAATTAGTGGTGAGGAAGAAACCCCTAATGCTCTGTTTGATTGTATTGGCTCAGAACCTTTAAGATATTAAACACCGTAATACCTAAGTTTTACTGAAAAAAGAGCTTAAAGCAGCTGATTTGAGCCAATGCTATATGGGCGAAATGGATCCACTGTATAATAATGGGACAGCTGTGGCTCAGTGGGTAGAGTGCTGGACTTCGAATCAGGGTAGCAAGTTCGAGTCCCACTGCAGTCAGCATGTCGTTGTGTCCCTGAGACACTTCACCCCAAATTGCTCCTGTGAGGATTGCCCACAGTATTGAGTAAGTCGCTTTGGATAAAAGCGTCTAACATGTAATGTATAAGTGTAGACAGTGCACGATATAGTATTTGAGACATGGTACAGGCTACAAAACCGTAGTCCACAAACTAATTGGTGATGCTGGTTCTGTCCACTTCTTCAAGCAGTCCTAAATATAAAGTGGTGAGAGCGGGAGGCTGACCGTAGGTTTGGACGTAGTAATGCCTTGTGTTCTAAAAACTGTCAAATAATCTTTCCTAAAGAAACAGGTCACTATGACGAACACAAATACAACAATTCGAGTCAACTTTTCCACTCCGACAATCAGGGATTCTAGGAGAGAGAAAACAGAGTGGCAAACACACACACACACACACACACACACACACACACACATCCCTGCAAACAATTTATCTTTGACTCATCCCATCCAAACACCTCAGTGAGCATCTCACTCTCTCCTCAGAGTGTGTACAGTGCAGGGGTCGGGGAAATCCCATAAAAGAGTGTGTGTCAGCGAGATGAGACAGACATCACTGCTTCTAGGGCTGCAGTGTGTATACAAACACACACACACACACACACACACACACACACACACACACACACACACACACACACACACACACACACACACACACACACACACACACACACACACACACAAACACATACAAACACATACTGTACCCCACGCCGAGCCCTGACTCAACTCTATAAACCCGCCGTCCCATCATGCTCGGCGGCAGCATCAGCGGTGAGGAAGCCTGATGTGATGACATGATGTGTGTGACATCACTCACACAACACACACACACTTTGAATAGGCAGACTGGCAGTTACATGAGACCAATGTGTGTGAGGGAGTTCATACTAACACACACACACCTGCGGGGAGCTATAAATGGCATCTGTAATTATGTACACACACAAATCACACACTCACACTGCACGGTTTGATTCCGCGAAACCATGCTTGCTCACGTCGACACACACACACACACACACACTCAGCCTGAGGCCTGTCTGACAGGTTAGCGGTCTCATTAGCAGCGGGAGGAGTGCCAACAGATAATTAACAGGAGAGATGAAGAGCGGGAGGGGGCGAGTGTCAGCAGTAAAAACCCAGGAGAGAGAGATGTTCTTTATGGGATGGATAAAGTGAAACGCCGGAGGGAAAGGAAGCGGACTGTTTTGTCTGACGGGTTCAAACACACACACACACACACACACACACAGGGATACAGTGATGTGCAGCATGACAGGAAGACAGTTTGAAGATGATGGGTGCTTTTAATCATAAGGCTGGTGTTATTTAATAGTTTGTTTTGTTTACAGTCAATAAATGCCTTTGAAAAAACAAAAATATGTAACTCTGTCTTCTGACTTCCTGTCTGTGGATTAAGCTCAAAGGCCATTGGTTCCTGGAGACATACATATTTTAAAACAACTCAAGTACATTTAGGTCCAGCTGGACAATGTAGTCTTTATTCCTGCACGTTTAATTTATGACGTTTTGATGCCATTCGGAATAAAGTCCAGGACCAGTTTGACACCAAAACTGAAGAAACAAAATTAAATTAATTAGGATAAGTCTTTCTTCTTGTATTAAATATGAATTTCTCTGGTCCAGTTGAAAGATGAACTGATCTTCTTTGAGTCTAAAGCACAAAATGCAATGTAAATGGTCTGTACTTATATAGCGCTTTATCCAGTCTTTAAGACCCCTCAAAGCGCTTTACATACATGTCGTTCACCCATTCACACCCATTCATACAGAGCAGTGTATCTTACTCTAGGACCTAACATTCACACACCGTTGGCCATCGGGAGCAACTCAGGGTTAAGTATCTTGCCCAAGGATACATCGACATGTTGACTGCATGGGCTGGGATCGAACCCACAACCTTCTGGTTGAAAGACGACCGTACTCCCTCGCAGCCAGTCGCCCTATACACACACATATGTGCCTTATTATAGGAGATACCACCTTTTATCCATAGTGCAAAATCTTGGTCGCAATTATTATTCTTTTTCAATGTAAACCGCAGCTGGTTTACAATTTAATGTTGTCGCTAAATATTTAGAGACTTGTGATTCGGGAGAGTTCTGCTGTGAGTACAAATGTGCTTCAGTAAAAAATGTCTGACAATCAAATGCTTGAATAAACTTTTATTTGAAGTCATTTCCGGTTAATAGTTGAATTCTTTGAGTCACATTTTATTTCAGTATGAAGACATGTAGAAAACAAAACCCCGAGATGACGAGACGCTGCTGTACAATGCAAACTTTGCTAAAAAAACAAAAACATAGTGATTTATTGGTTATGGTTTTAATATCATCCGATCTGGGCGGTCCTCGTGATGTCCTGCCAAAGTCTTCTTTTGCCAATTTTTTTTCAACAACAAACAAAAATGTTCCAACGAAAGCATATGTCGAACAACCGTGGACCTCGACAGCCTGCAGACTTAGCGCTAATCCTTCCTGCTGTCTCATTATCGACGCAGAGTTCTTAAAACGAAAACCAGATGCTCGTTTAAGTTTGGCTGCAGACAAAGAGGCTCGAGCCAAACCTGACAAAAACAGACAGTAAAACCGCTAAACTGTGTTTGTATTGACGGACAGAAATCAACACCTGCTATTGAAAACACGTGTGGATTTTTTTTCCCATGACCCCCTTGTTTTTAGCTCCATAAAAATAGCCGGCTCTCATAAGACACCCTGCGGAAAAACCATGTTCACCCATCTGTCGTCTGCAAAAACAACGAGTTAAAATCAAAGAACATGTAATTTATTGTTTAACATGGTATCAGATCCCATCACACATTTATTTGTTTATTCCAGCTATGAAAATAAGTTTGAATTTCTCTTAAATTAAACAAAGAAATGTCGTTTTCTTGTTAAAGCTGCAATGTCATGCTAATTATGGATGAGTACCAGATGAGGACACGTGTCTGCTTGTTAAATTGCTTCATCAAATAACTTTAAACGGTGGCAACAAGTGTTCTGGGATCAGTGGAGAGAAACCCAAAGTGTCCGTCCCTCGCACTTTGTCAAGCGTCAGTGCACGCAAGCATCCGACAAAAAGAAAAATCCTCTGTTAAAAGTCAAACACGAAGCACCAGAAGTTCCTGGAGAGTTTTTTTTTGTAGATGGCGATAACGTTCGCAGGCTGTGTTGTAAACTTTGTGTCCAGAGGTGTTTCTGCAGGGGGGGGGGGGGTTAGTGCATGATCGTGGAAACTAAGGCAACTTCAGAAGGAGAGGATTCCCCAAATCGCCCAAAATATCGGAGGAGAAAGATGTGTGGCAGGATAGATGACGGACACGAGGGATCTGTCCCCCTCCTCTCCTCCCTAGGGTTTGGTGGGAGAGGAGGAGAAGAAGTGAGTCGAAGAAGGAGGAATCCTCAGCGCCTCTCCACCTAAATAAATGTCTTTCTTTCGTGGTAGAAATATAAATAGACGGCAAGATGAAAAAGGAGGCTTGTTAAATCCCTCCTCCTCATCCTTTTGTTCATCTCTATCAATACGCTTCCTTCTCGTCTTAAGTTTCAGAGTTTCCCCCGACGTTTTAGCGCCGGCGCCGCGGTTACCGAGCCGGCGTGGGTCGGGTTGGTCTGTTGTCACGGTGACAACGAGGTGTTGGGGGGCGGGGCCTCAGTCCGAGGGCACGGGGATGACGCAGATGTGCAGGAAGCTGTCGGGGTGGCTGAGGTGTTCGCTGAGCCACTGCAGAGGCGTCTCCAGCAGCGGCTCGATGCCGTGGATCACCACCTGGAAGCGCTTCGGCCCGCCTGGAGGAGAGGGGAGAGGAGGGAGGGTTAGAGCCATTTTCCTTTCATCATTATGGCTTGAATGTTTGGCTTAATAATATAACGGTTTAGTGTAACTATTTATTTGTGTGAGTCACACTACGGTTTGAAATATGTTAGTTTTTACGCTGCTATGGACATTCTCAAGATATTGAAGTGACTGTTATTTTGTATATATTGTGTCTTTGATTGTGTATATAAACATATTTGCACACATATTTTTATATATATTTGTATTTTTGTATTCAGGATTGTGGGAAACTGTATTTCGATCTCTCCGTCTGTACACACAAACTGGAAGACTGACAATAAAGTTGACTTTGATTTAGGGTTAGGGTCACTTATTTGTTGTCAAATGTGTGTCATATGTCTCTATGCCTATATATGGCATGACATTGGTTCACAGCTGAGTGTGTGATTAGACGGGAAGCGGTAAAGTCTTCAGACCGAAGCAAAGAGAAGCCACAACCCCGATAGAGGACAGTAGATATTAAATGTAGGAACAGATTAAAACGCCACGACAGGGAGGGATAACTGATCTGAGAATAGCAGGGTATTCTTACATTACATTTCAAAGTCAACTTTATTGTCAATCTTTCAGTTTGTGTGCACAGACAGAGAGGTCGAAATACCGTTTCCCACAATCCCGAATACAAAAACAAATATATATGAAAATATGTATACAAATATGTATATACACAGTCAACAGACACATGTATACATATGCACACATTAAGACATAAATAAAAGCACAACAATGAGGTGGAGGGATTATATCTCTTCGCTGGCCTGGGAGCGCCTTGGGACCCCCCAGTCAGAGCTGGTTGATGAGGGGAAAGGAAAGTGTGGGGCTCTCTGCTGGAACTGCTACCCCCGCGACCCGACCACGGATAAGCGGGAGAAGATGGATGGATGGACGACAATCAATACATACAAAATAACAGTCGCTTCAATATCTTTCAAACAGGTTTTTAATCTACAGCAATTGGGGTCTTGTTCCAATATTTTTTTAATTGGCTTACTTCTAACTTAAACAGTTGAACTCCTGTTGAGCGACTTCCATACTCAATGCTGTGGGCAATCCCCACAGGAGCACTTTGGGGTGAAGTGTCTCAGGGACACAACGACATGCTGACTGCAGTGGGGTTTGAACCTGTGACCCCCTGACCCCAACACCAACGCACCACCCACTGCACCACACGCCTCCCGCCTATATATATATATGCATCAGGATTTCCATCAAAACTACTGTTCTTATTTTCATTAAACTGGTTTGACGGATGAAGTTTGTGCCAAATATGTGTTTGTTTAACGTTTGTTAACATGGTGGGATATGACACCGTTCTCTGTGCTTCTAGCTCATATTTTAAAAGTAGAAAAAGTAACATTGGGAGGAAGAAAAGAAAGGAGAGCATGTAGAGAAGATAATAGATTGGAAATGAAGACATTATGTCACAAAAGAAAGAAGATAAAAAGACAAAGATGAAGGTGGTGGAGAGAACAGAGGAAGAGATGGTTACATGAGGTGAGAGAGACCACATCAGACACTGCTGTGGTGGGCGAGAGAGAGAGGAGAGAAAGTACCTGTGTGTGTGTGTGTGCGTGTGTGTGTGTGTGTGTGTGTGTGTGTGTGTGTGTGTGTGTGTGTTCAGTTACAGAGCGGAGGAAAGAGTGACAGTTGATTGTTTTTTGTGTTTGTCATTGATAGGATTCAAACTTTTAACTCTCACTTTGAGTTAGTGGTTTCAGAATGCCTGCCTGTGTGTGTGTGTGTGTGTGTGTGTGTGTGTGTGTGTGTGTGTGTGTGTGTGTGTGTGTGTGTGTGTGTGCGTGTGCGTGTGCCTGTGACTGACCCCGCCCGGCGCTGAAAGGCCACGACCGCAACAAAATGGTTGGTTCGGAAGAGCAACTTTCTCGACCCAGAGTTGTTTGATTTGCAGAGAGAAACATTTAGGAGCTTTTTTTTTTACAGAAAGCTCGTTTCAGAAAGTCAGCAAGACATGAGCAGGAAGATTCAAATGAAATAACCATCAGAGATGCATCATGGGAAATGTAGGATCCAGTCTTTCTCGAGCTTGGAACTTAGGATATTGCAGTCTGTGTGTGATTTTCAATTTAAGGCTTAAAGACAACCTGTTATTAGTTGAATGCATTATTTCTATATTTTTGAAAATGTATTAAATTAAATAGTAACAAGTATTGTTTTCAGAGCTACATCCATGCTCTTAAAAATGAAATACACCAGTATCCCAGGTTTCATTGGACTTGAAAACTTGACAGCCCTCTTGAAGCTAAAGTCAAGATAATTGAAGTATTAAAAAACCTCCTGCATGCACACATTATTAACATTTTCTATTAGTATGAAAACTTTAAATGTTGATTTCTACTCAGTTATTCAAGCGCCTGTATCCCTGCTGCAGTTTCAAATGATACCTTAATATTCAAAATAGTCATGTTTAGTGGCAATGTAATCTAGTCTAGCCATTTTCTGTGATTAGTCTCCTTTGTCTTTGTATGAAACGTTCTGGTAGATCAGGTGTTTAATGTCCGAATGCAAATCTGTGTGTTTGAAAATAAAACGGTTTGGATTTCACTTTCAATAAAAACAAGTCACATTTTGCAAAAGAGAGAAAACAGTTGTGTATTATCTTCAGCCTGATCATCTTTCAAGATAGTTATTTTGCACTGCTGGAAAACATATACAAAAAAGTAGTTTTTAAAATATTTTTGTATTCCTTTTTTTCTTTTATGCATTGCATTTGAAGAAAGGCTCTGGTCTCATACATAACAAAATGAGATACAGTAAAACTAAATGAAGCTCAGCGCAAGTTCAACCAGGAAGACGGGCTTTACTCATTCATTTACTATGTCTATGTCACTACTCTCTCTCCTCTCGGGGCGTCACACCCCAGCTTAACCAATCACTTCTCTCTATTCTCACAAGCCTATCATAGCGCTCTGCTAACCTTTTTAAATCTGCTCTCCCCTCTGACAGCTGTCATTTCAGGTGACTCGACGCAACCCTCCTCCACCCCTTTTCACCTCCTGTCCCTCTGAATTCAGGGTCAAGCTAAGCCTCTCCCCTTCAGACCGACCCCAACTATCTATTCACCACCACCAGGGTCAAGCTAAGCCACTCCCCTTCAGACCGAACCCAACCATCCATTCACCACCACCACCACCAGGGTCAAGCTAAGCCCCTCCCCTTCAGACCGACCCCAACTATCTATTCACCACCACCAGTGTCAAGCTAAGCCCCTCCCCTTCAGACCGACCCCAACTATCTATTCACCACCACCAGTGTCAAGCTAAGCCACTCCCCTTCAGACCGAACCCAACCATCCATTCACCACCACCAGGGTCAAGCTAAGCCCCTCCTCTTCAGACTGACCCCAACTATCCATTCACAACCACCAGGGTCAAGCTAAGCCCCTCCCCTTCAGACTGACCCCAACCATCCATTCACCACCACCAGGGTCAAGCTAAGCCACTCCCCTTCAGACCTACCCCAACTACCCCTTCAACCACCACCAGGGTCAAGCTAAGCCCCTCCCCTTTAGACCGAACTCAACTATCCATTCACCACCACCAGTGTCTAGACCCCGGGGGGTTTAATCGGATCAGTTCTCCCCTCCCGAATGATACTCCTGCACAACGGGGTCTAATCGCCAAAACTCCATTACATTCATTTGAGTATTCCTGGCAATAAATAAGTATTCTTACATCAAAACCGTCTCTCCTGACTGAAATACAATTATAATACTTGACATATAACTCATACAACATAAATACTCTGTCATACTTAATACACATTAATTTTCTGTAAAATAATAATAGAAAATAATATAAATTATAAAACAAATAATGTTCTATATCTCACCCATTATTCACAACCATAGTCAGCAAAATATGATTAACCGGATTTTTTTATAATTTTAATTTATAAAGTTATCACCTTTTAACCAAGTCCTTGTGATATGTTTAATTATTGTATATTCTTATTACAAAATGTGCATTGTTGTTGTTGTTTTTAACAGAAGTATTATTAACGTTGGTTGAAAAACAACAAGAACATGTTCATTTCAATTCAGGATGTTCTGCATGTGCGTGAGAAAGACAGACAGTGGGCCTTTTCCCGTCTACCACGTTTCACACACACACACACACACACACACACACACACACACACACACACACACACACACACACACACACACACACACACACACACACACACACACACACACACACACACCACACACACACACACACACACACACACACACACACACACACACACACACACACACACACACACACACACACACACACACACACACACACACACACACACACACACACACACACACACACACACACACACACACACACACACACACACACACACACACACACACACACACACACACACACACACACACACACACACACACACACACACCATGTATACATCACTTCAGGGGACATCACATTGACTTACATGCATTTCCTGGAGACTTATCCTAACCTTAACCATAACCAACACATGCCTAACCCTAACCCTTAACCTTACCCTAACCCTAACCAAGTCTTCACCCTAAAATTAATGACTCCCCTCATGGGGACCTCAATTTGTCCCCATAAGGGAGGCGAGTCCCCACACGTGACTATGTAAACAGATTTAGGTCCCCACAAGTATAGTAATGCTAGACCACACACACACACACGACATTTTGGTTCCACGTAATATCAGGAGGACGGTTGAGACGAGGCGCTAACCGACAATGTGAGAGGCGACTCCACCCGGCACCTGCAGCAGAAACGCTCAGCAGTTTACTTTCTCTAAATTACAGATGTGAACGTTGAGGTCAGAGGTGACTGTGGACGTGTAATAAAGAAAAACATTGTAAAAAAATTATTAGAATCAGAAACGGGTTTATTTCCAGGTAGGTTGACACGTACGAGGAATTTGACTTGGTGTC